ACTGACACGCCACTTTACAGACGATCTCCCAGACGTCGACGAAGGCGAAATTGAGAGGGCTCTCAAACAGCTTAAAAATGGGAAGGCTCCCGGTGAAGATGGAATCACTTCCGAGCTTCTCAAAGCAGGCGGAACCCCACTGCTGAGAAAGCTAAAGGAGATATTTAATTCCGTCATAGCAAATGGGACTACCCCGAAGGTGTGGAGTGAGAGCGTGGTGGCTTTGTTCTACAAGAAAGGTAATAATACCCTCTTGAAGAACTATAGACCAATCGCGCTCCTAAGCCACATCTACAAGCTGTTTTCGAGAGTCCTCACAAACCGTCTCGCCGCAAGATTTGACGCCTTTCAGCCACCGGAGCAGGCTGGGTTTCGAAAAGGTTTTAGCACCGTGGACTACATTCACACAGTGAGACAGGTTATACAGAAGTCACAAGAGTATAATCAGCCGCTGTATCTAGCATTTGTGGACTACGAAAAAGCCTTCGACTCCATCGAAACCTGGGCCGTTCTGGAATCCTTGCAGCGATGCCAGGTCGACTGGCGGTACGTGGAGGTGCTGAGAAGCCTGTACAGCACGGCGACGATGTCCGTCCAAGTACAAAACCAAAAGACTAAACCCATCCAGCTGCTCAGAGGAGTGAGACAGGGAGATGTCATCTCTCCGAAACTGTTCTCCAACGCACTGGAGGATGTTTTCAAAACCTTGGACTGGAACGGATTGGGCATCAACATCAATGGCCAATATCTCAACCACCTCCGCTTTGCCGACGACATTATTTTTTACATTACATTATTTGAAAATCATGCTGCAAAGCTTGGATGCTGCCTCATCATCGGTCGGTCTCAGGATGAACTTGGACAAGACTAAGGTCATGTTCAACGACTTTATAAGTCCAGAGCCGATTTCGATCAACGGCGAAGCGCTCGAAGTTGTCCAAGAGTATGTTTACCTCGGGCAGACATTGCAGTTAGGTAGAGACAACTTTGAGCGTGAAATCGCTAGAAGAGTGCAGCTGGGCTGGGCAGCATTTGGAAATCTGCGTCATATCTTCTCGTCGCCACTACCACAATTCCTAAAAAGCAGGGTCTACAATCAGTGCGTCCTACCAGTCATGACATACGGGGCCGAGACTTGGAACATGACGGTGAGGCTGGCCCACCGGTTACATGTCGCTCAGCGGGCTATGGAAAGATCAATGCTCGGTATTTCGCTAAAGGATAAAATCCGAAACGAAATTATCCGGCAGAGAACCAAAGTTGTGGATATAGTCCGTAAGTGTAGCAAGCTGAAGTGGCAGTGGGCTGGCCACATCTGTCGTATAACCGATGAGCGCTGGAGCAGACAGGTTCTCGAATGGAGACCACGTCTCGGAAAACGTAGTGTCGGACGTCCCCCTGCCAGGTGGACCGATGACCTGAGAAAGGTCGCTGGTAGTGGCTGGATGAGGAAAGCGGAAGATCGTACTCTGTGGCGTACTCTTGGGGAGGCCTATGTCCAGCAGTGGACTGCAAAAGGCTGATTGATTGATGATTGATTTATAAATGAAGTACATAATATACTTTTTTCATAAAACTTATGTTTACTTACTCTCTATCTACTATACCGTAATCTTGGCGCGCCGCGCGTGAGCGTGCATTACGCGTGCTTTTCTAAGACTTTACATTTTTTATTATAATTGAAAATTTATTGTTTGAAAATAATGTAATTTATTTAACTATTACTTTTGAAAGTTTACCATATTCGTTTCTATTATGATTTACTTATATAAAATTATCGACTGTAAGAAGAGTGATTTTCTTTTTAACGTAGTGGTGATAGACCAGATAAAATGTATGTAGATACCTATATCGACGTAAAACTTAGTATGAGCTCGACCCAACCGTATTTAAAAAAAAAACAAATGACATTTTAAAACCTACCTACGTCAAACTGACGCAACAAGTATACTGTGTATATCCAGATAATAATTCGCACGATTACCGCCTGACTGCTTATTTATACAAGTCATCGACAGGACGAAGTCTACATCTTGGAAAATCCAGAAATAAATCGAAGTAATTTTCCACTGGGTGCTCTGTAGTTGTTAGTACAAAGTAAGATCGAGAAATATTGTAATTAGCCTGTGGTCTCCCAACCAAAGGCCTTGAATAGTTATAATCGTATGTATGGTTAAACTGACCACTTTTTTTCTGACTCAAAACGGGACACTGATTTACAAAGAAAACAAACATACTTAACTTTTTAATTTTTTTTCCGAAAAGATTGAAAATTAAAAGATACAAAGAAAAAATCATTAGTTCACTTTTTTAATTAAAGTATAATTATATATTTTTATATTTCTCAGAGGAATCAAATTTGTTTTAATAAAGAACGTGACAATTTTAAATAAGAATAAAATTTGCCACGTTTCTTTTATGTTGACCTTTGTTATCAGCAGCGCCTTCAGAACTGGAGCTTTTCAACATCACCAACACCACTATGGGAAACACTAAACTGTGCACTTTGACACTTTTCGCATCTGACATCCGAAGGAGTGTTAATTTGCTTAATAAATGGGTAGGTATTTTGTTTGTAGGTTGACATTAAATGAACACTTGGGTTTCGGCATAAATATAAGAAAAAAATAAAATTTCAAAACAACAAAACTTCAAATTATCTACAAAACTATTTAACGAATATTACACAAAAACAAAGAAGTCAGAATACATGCGCGTTGCTGGCCTCTTGACAGAAACAAATGCCCCCTTCCCTCTCCTCCTCACCGCGTTACTAGGTAACCGAGAACGCGTGCATGCGGGGAATAACCGGGAATAACCGATCGCGTTTGCCCGCTGCTCATGATCATGTCTGACGAGCGTTGTTTTAAATTTCACGCGCTTTTGGAAAACGGGACAATTTTGCGTCCCAAAGATTTCTTCGGGGACAAAGGGACAGCTGTCCGAGAAAAGGGACAGTCCCGTTCAAAACGGGACGTATTGTCAGTTGAAGTATGGTTTACCAACGTTGTATATGAATCTCACAAATTATTGCTTGTACGTGTTGTATAAAAAAGTGATTATTCAAGGACAATTGTCATGGCAATGAAAGTATCAAAGCATGCTGATATTATTACTAATTATTCTTACAAGTCATTGACAGATCTTGGAAACTCCAAAAACAAATCGAAGTAACTTTCCACTGGGTGTTCTGTAGGTGTACCTACGTACAAAGTAAAATCGAGAAATATTTTAATTGCCCCGGCTTCTCACAACAAAGGCCCTGAATGGTTTCAACCGCAAAGTTGAAAAGTATTTATATATATGTAAAGAAAAATATTATTTTCTTTTATTTAAATATTTTCTTTAATTTAAATATTTTCGCGCACCGGCCGTTGATAAAATTTATTTTAAAAACTATGTTTGTACGCCGGATTATAACAGAAAAAGAATTAAGCTGTCATATGAAGCAATTCATGAAAATAATTTGATTACAAAGATATTTAATAAGTAAAATAGTGATTTAGGAATCGACATTGTGATTATTAACATTAAATGTCGTTTCTTTAATTACAGGTAAAGTTTTAATAGTAAAATCTTTATTTTTGTTATTTTAATTATTATTTGTTATAGTTTCAAAATCTTACAATAAATCTTTAATTACAGAGAAACTCAATTGTGTTTTGATTGCTGTGTCATCCTAAACACTGAAAAATATTCTTATAAAACGACATTTTCTGTAAAAAAAAACTATTTTAATTACAAAATTGGTCACTTATGTATACATAGCTAAAATAAGAGCTTAAATAATAGCTCAGTAATGGTGAATAAATGCAAATAAATTGATAAAGGTATTTGACGTCATATTACTATAACAACGTAGAATTTAATAACTGTTGCCTTGTTAATGAAATATCTAAGCAATATGGTGCTACAGTTATTTTTCGGGCTTTTTATAAAATTTTGTCCCTTTGCTCATGATTAGAACTTACTTATTTTTCTAGAACTAGATTACGCTTATGTAGCGACCCAGGCATTATAATTTTACCATGTGCTAGCTGGCGAGTTAACAATGTCGTTTATTATCTCAGAAATCCGCCATTTATGAAGCCAATGTAAATTTTTTTTTGAATTGGGTTCGAAGTAGCTCCGATGTGGTCCCATATTCATTTCATTGGTATTGGTGCTTCGACTGTGGATTCCATTTTCTGGTTTTAAGTAATAAATAACAAGTAATAATAAATTGATAAGCGGGGAGTACCTACCGAGTAAAGTTTAATATAATTTCACCTAGTAAAAGTTAAAGTAGAGGGCTACTTTTCAGTATATATGGTCACAAGACTGACCATGAATGCTGCTTAAATGTTATTACATTTAATAATGTAACAAGGTTATTAAAAATGATAGTATTCGTGTAAACGCGTTCATTGACACTACCTGGGTATTGGTATGTGTTTAAAAACATAACGAATCGTGTTTCGTTCACTGATTATACCTTTAACCTTTGTAGGTTATACAAGTCATCAACAAATTTTTGTATTTTTTTTATTACGTCACTTGTTTTTGCTGGTTGAGGACTTTGGCATATATTTTTTGATTAAAAACTCTGCTCTACATTTTTTTAATTAAGGCTGTTAATTTCGCACACTTTACGATGACACTCAATATCTCCTAGAGGACAAATATGGTTCCTAAAAGTCTAGAATAACGACATCTTTTCCGTCACCCGGTAAAACTCACCGGTATAGCCTACTTTTCACAGAAAAAAAAAAAATAATTAAAACTTGTTAGTTTCACTAAGTAATTCCGCTATTACATTGTCATTTGATCACATTAAACATCTAGGTGATTGTTATTAGTGATACAGCTATTGATCATATATTAGTCTATATAGTCAAATGATACAGCATACATAATTAAAAAATATATTTTTAAATTAAGGTAAATTAGGTTCAAAATTTATTTATTTCAAACTGATGTTCGTTATGTGTACTGTGCATCTGTTTGTCGCAGGCTGCCTACTCATCCAGTTCAATAGCACGCGTTAACTTAGGCGTAGACGGGTTCTTCTCGAACAACTTAGCGTGTTCTGATCCTGGGCCCAGGCCGAGAGCGAAACGATCCCTTAAGGTTTTTCCAAAATGGTGCTTAAAACGTACTAGCTTGCGAGACTTTTTAGGGTCCCTTTGATTCACCTGGCTCTCTGATCGATTTATAATAATTTATAAAAAGCGCCTTGTCCACAAGCGAGCATTGCTTTAGCTTGAAATAGCTGTAGAGTAATTGTGCGAGGCTTGCATAACTCAACCAGTCCAGCTCCTGCGGGTACGCCAAGTTACGTACTAAATGAAGAAATTCGTCGCTGATTTGTGTAAGCTGTATTCCGCTCGTTTCCTTCTTATATTTTATTTTCATAAATTGCGACAGTCTGGTTTCAACTACAGACTCATAGGACAAAAATAGACACGGCATTTTTTTATTCGCGGGTAATCTGACCCCGTCGTAACGACTCGTTTATTACTTGTCCACAGTGGGCGGGTATACACCAAACTAACACTCCGATTCGGAATAATTATCTGTGGGTCACACAAATACTTGTCCCTTGTGTGGGAATCGAACCCACTATCTGTCGCCGAAGCCAATAGCTTATAAACGGCGCCACCGAGTCATCAATTAAGTCGTAGTCTATTATAATTTTAGACATAATCAATTTATATGTAACAGGCCCCTAAGCCTTCGTCTGGCATAGGCTTGGGAGGAACTCGTGCATTTTGCAGAATGTTCGCAGCCACGACTTTTTGTAGGACAGAGATGTTTACACAAATATAATGCCAGGTCTCACAAGCCCGTGGAAGTTCCATGTAAACTCAACAACTTTTATTTAAAATGCGAGTTTCCAAATGTCAAATTTAGGTATTTATGAATGACTACCGCATTGTCAACACGTTCTGTTTTTATGGGAATAGAATGGCATTTTTTTTTTTTGAAAAAAAAAAAAAAACTTTGTTTTTTATGTCAATAAACGATTATACTACCGAATCTGAACCTCCTATGTAAATTTGGGCACTTCTCAAAAAATCTCCCTGTATAACTAATCGATACGTACATCTCAGGAAATAAATTGAACAGGCCTATTGTAAAATACTTTATTAAAAATAATAAATAATTTGCAAATGATTGATTGGTACTCGATCATTGAGCTGGTTCATCCCGCTGCAGAATACTCGCACCAACTGCTGTATTAAAATCGGCGACACTTGAAGCGTTATACGAAACCATAAGAACATATCCGGATTATCGTAAGATCGCATGCCCTACACCAAATATTTTCCGCGTATCTTTAAAACTTAGATGCCCCTCCGTATACTAGGAAAATGCAATTTTCATCGGAATAAATAATAAAAAAGGACTCAATGGTTTAATACACACTGCACATTGATTAACACGTATATAATAAATTACTATGGACGTGGGATATACAAATAACATGCGACGCAAGCATATTTGTCTTACTTGACTACGTAACTACATAAAATGTGATCGTTAGCGAAAAGTAATATAAAAGGATTATTTCCCGCCCAGATTTGAGAATGGGTCAATAAAATTTTGATATAAGAATAATAGCATATTAAGTAAAGTTATATAATACCTATAAAACAATAGTGGAATAATAAACAGTTCAAAACTTCTGCATATCTGTATCTCCATTAAAATGTAATACAATCTTACAAAAAAAATATACAGTCATTTTAGTAACAATCAAGAAATATTTTGTGAAATTTTATACCTTTTATCTTTAAAGTGTCGTAAGTGCACATTTTATTACAATAAAATTATTTTTACTTAATAGGGAAGTAACATTTATATATGCTTGCGCTGTGTTGTTAGTTAAAAAGCTCAGTTTTGAGCATGATTAAAAGTTCAATATTAAACAAAAAGATCAAAATCTATGGTAACATCGTTTAACAACAATCTTCACGAAAAAATCCGTAAAATAATATTTACATTTAACTATCAGCCGTAAATCAACGTGTACACTATAACATATTAGAATTAAAGCGCTACAGTATAGAAAAATTATATTTACATATTATAAAGAACGATCTTATAACGTCTACGCAATGAAACCACAAGACGCATACCTAAGTGTCCACCACAAGTCCAACCACCACAGACCAATATGAACGTACGGGGCCGACACTGGTCAGTTTTCAATGGCGTCCAGCCGGCTTTGTACTTAAATGACGTGAGGCGTTCGATGATGCAAAATTCGTAGTGTGACTGTGCGTCGCAGGGCCCCGAGGCGACTGACGTGGCAGGGCTGCCGCCGCGCTAGGAACAGGGCTGTCGCCACGGCAGGTGACGGGGCTGTCGCCAAAGACCGACAGGGCTGTCGCCATGATAGTGGCAGGGCTGTCGCCGCGCTAGAGGCGTCCGACCGCCGAGGCGCCCGTTTCCACTGTCGCCCGGCACTATGACACCGGCCTCCGGCGCACAAACGCGTCCGCCGCCGACGACGCGTACGAATTGGGCACCTCCGAGGCGGGCTCCTGCTTGTAGCCGTTGCGGCTGCTCAGCGAGCCGCCGTTCTCGTTCATCACCACCTGGGGCAATGGGAACACGCACGGGTCGAATGTTGCTCACAGACAGCCTCTTTACATTAAATTGCCACTGGGCACTGCACTGCTGCCACAGCGCAGCGCCACGTGGTACCATCCGTTGACGCCCCGAAAAACAAATCCGAATAAAAAGAGTGCAGGGCGCGTAAAACTTTTTTACGCCTGAGTGATGTTGGCTGCACGACTTCTTTGATTAATCCGGAAAGGAACATTGTGAACAACTGTTAAGCGGGAGCAAGAAATACCGTCTCCCCGATGCGCCCCTTTAATACCTACAAACAGAGTACTGGGTCATGTCTTAGACGAATTTCAGACGCGCAAGTTTTGCGCACTCTTTTGAGTTTTAATAAATGTAAGTGATAAAAGATATGTTACTATATAAAAGATCGCGGCGAATCAATAAAATTTCGTATCGAATTTTTGTAAAACCAACATACGCATATCAATCGACACGATTGCCTCGTGACTTGATCAGTAATAACAATAAAAACATTTATTATCTTTAAACATTACGTGAGGGTTTATTTTGTGTTTTTCGTATTAACATCCACACGGTTATTCGCAATTTGTTAGAATTCATAAGCATTTAACGTACGAAGAAAAAAAGTGCATTTTCTGCACTGTCAGCCAAACTGATTTAGTATGCTGATAATGTGACGTTATATGAAAATCATACCAATGCTAATCATTAGATTTATGGGCTCCAAACAAAATATATAATATAATAATTATATATATACAACAGAGTAATAAATTATCGTATAAAATTAGCATCGACTCCGAGATCATATACGACACGTCGACTCAATAAATACTTAAGTATTTTACGATGTGGCATAAATATTCAATTTTCGAATTTTTATTTTTAACATAATTTGTGCGGAGGCGGCCAAATGACTGCTAACTGAATCAACTGACAGACACGTCCCGCTGCATGGTTACATCGGAAAACCTTTTCCATTTTCAAAATTCGATCCAGCGATTAAGCACCACTTGTCTGTTAGGATAACTTAAGTGTTGTGAGGTTGAGCCTTCAATGTGCCTTATGATAATTATAACGGATGCGATATAGCCCAAAAAAACTCAAAATTCTTTCAGCTCGAAAGCACGCTTTCTGCTAATAAACGCGCGTGTAAACGTATACATTGGTCCTACCATGCAGAGACCGTTGGTGGTTTTCGACTGCCTGCCAGCCTTGTTGTACCGCGCCTTGTAGAAGTCGCTGAAGAGGAACAGGAACAGGAATCCGTGCATCGCGATCCAGTAGACGAAGGGGCGCGGGTACTGGCACGAGGGTCTGAACAGCACTTGCAGCTGGTGGCTGAAGATCAGCACAAACTGAACCTGGCGCGGAAGGAATAGTCACAGTGATGAAAATTTAATTAATAAAAAAAATCCTTTTTCATACATTAATAAAACACTCATTAATAAAAAAAATCCTTTTTCATACATTAATAAAACACTCATTAATAAAAAAAAAATCCTTTTTCTTTTACTGGTAATACTAAAGCTCGTTAATAGTTTTTTCTAAACAAAGTAATAACAATAATAAAATCGATCGTCTACTATAGGAGGTAAAGATGCTTTTTTTTACTGCACATCTCTAATAATTACTTTTGTAATAGTAACATCGTTAATTTTGTATAACTATGCGAGCGAAGTCGAGGGTAAAAGCTAGTTATGATCAAAACTTCTGTAATCCCAACTTAAGAAGTGAATTTGAAATGGCTACTATAGATTAAGTAAACTATAAATTAACATTTTCTTAGGAAGAGTTTGACGTTACAGCAAGAATAAAAAATCAAATATCAAACGACAAGGCTCATACTGTATTCGTGTACAATCGCATTAATCTATCTAGGTGTGAGAAAAGGGGAGGTGCTGTGTTGTATGACGCCAGTAAGGACGTCGCCAAGAGTCAACATCTAACAAATTATACAAATGTCTCGTGGATGGACCGTGACATGAGTCTCAAAGTGCACTGGCCAGAGTAGCCAATGAACGGTGGAACGTAATTAGCTGCCAATTTTTACTGCAAACATTTAAGTAAATTTTCATGAGCTACAGCGATCAGTGCAAATTCATTGCTTATGAGAGATTTATTGCAAAACACACTATGCTTTTTGTTGGCAATGTTATTACTCTTAAATCCCCGCACAAAAACATAATAACAAATTCTATGAAGGTTACACAATTTTTTTGTGATGTTTTCGTCTCGAACACGTTTAACTGTGAGAAAATCCCATTTTTTATAACATATAACTCGCAAATTTTATTACTTTTAATTCAGCGTGTAAAATTTAATTATCACGGAAAATTTAATAAGTACGCTAAAGCCATTTTATTGTGTCCCGAATTGAGATTCATGGCATATACGTGTGTGTGTATATATATATATATAAAAGAAGAGTAAATATAAAAGATGTGTTTATTCGAGATAACTAAAAACGGGTATGTTGAGTAAAGGAAGCACAACTTACCATTTGGAAGGCGGTGAGGTATTTCTTCCACCAGATGTACTTCTGATATTTCGGGCCCATAGCTGACACCATATAGTAGAAGTACATGACGATATGCACGAAAGTGTTCAGCAGTGCGAAGAATGTGCTATGGCCACCTGACAACGGACATATAAAAGCAATGGAATATATTCAATTTTATTAAAGCAACCAAACATAAACATTAAACTTATATCTACATAGATACGTGCGCATTCTTTGCTCAAAATTTGTCAGCATGGTGTCACTGAGGATAAAAAAAGCGCTGGCGGTCAATAGAGCATTTACTCATGTCGAAATATGTATGTTTTAACTCCTATTTCAATTTTTAAACAGTAAGTTCTCACCAATGGAGAGAAAAATCAATGAGGCTAATATTTAAACTATTTATGAAGTTCATAGCCAATAAACGGCGGTTTAAAAAGGGTTAGTATTGATATGACAGTTTGCATTAATTAACCGAATCCAGTTTATTCTTCGCTTGCAAGACGACTTGTTTATTACTCGTCAAACTCGATTGCCTATTTATCGTTCTTTAAGTCCTCAGTTGTTCACTTTTCTCAGAATGGTCGTTGTTGATAACGATGAATTTTTTCCGGCTAATGTGCATTAGCTTTTCAGGGTTTTCTTACCCAAAAGGTAAAATGGGACCCTATTACTAAGACTCCGCCGTCTGTCTGTTCGCCTGTTACCAGACTGTATCTCAGGAACCGTGATGAGAGTTAGACAGTTGAAATTTTCACAGATGATGTATTTCTGTTGCCGCTATAACCACTAATATTTATGCTATGTAAATTAGTTATTTTTTTGTTCTTTTATTATTTTGTTTTATTTTTGTAAATGGTGTTTGTAAAAGATTAGTAAAGATTTTTCTTCTCTATTGTATTCTTTTCTAATAATAATAATATATTTAAAAATATAGATTAGGCATAAGGTGTTCACTATGGTAATTTTATCGCTATATTCTACCCATTTCGTGGGGTGGGCAAATAAGATATGTTCTCTAAAAGGTTGTCAGTATACATGCTCAAATTTCTTAATTATTATTCATAAAAGAAAATATGTAATAGAATATAAAAATAATAATAAAACATATGTCTATGTAAAAGTTAGATAACATACATTAATAATAGAACAGAAAACAAAATGAAAAATAATTAAATGACAAAAAAGTAAAAATGTTTGATAAAATTGCACATTGTTAATTCTAACTGAATAAGTTTGGATGAAATTATTATTTATTTGAGAAAAAATCGTTTATACTGCAATAACATTTTTGTGTTAACATGTGTAGTTTTTTCTTAAATAAATTTGTGTTTAATTCCTTTATTTCTTTCGGGAGCCCATTATATATTTTTGGTGCCTCCATGGCACCAAAAATATATATCCCTCTCAGTACACTCTTTTTCTCTCGTAAGTTTTGTGTTAGTTTTTGGTAAAAAAAGTTTGTATAATTAACGTCTACTTCGCTCATGGTTGGACTTGGAAAAAAGAGACTACTAAAAGTAAAAAAATATTTAAGTGGGGCTCCCATACAAATAGACATGATTTCTTTGGCCGTTTTTTTATATAACGGTACGGAACTCCATGTACGCGATTCCGACTCGCACTTGGTTATTTGTTTATGCGCATTGCGGTTACATCGCCGCGATGCACCTTCATTAATAGTGGTCTTTGGTCTCAGAACATTTTATACTATAGAATTTTGTGTTAGATCTTTATAAGGTCTGTAAATTGTGTGGATGGTGTCCAAGTGACCGCTTGCCTTTTCACTTGCCCCTAGACAATAAGTTGTTATTGTTGTCTCGAAAGCCTTGCGAAAGTCGACGAAGCAGATATATAGCGGGATGTTAAACTCTCTAGACTTTTTGATTATTTGTCAAAGAATTAATATCCTTTCCCTTGTGCATCGACCCCTTGACGAATTCTACTTTCTGAATTCAGAAAAGCTTGCAGTCTGCTGTTGAGACATGGAGAGTGTATGTGAATGGCGTGAGATGGAAGACTTCATTTATAATTTCTTCGATGATACCTTCTTGTTCAGTGGTATAGACACGACAGTCTTAGGGCTGGTTCTCTGTCTCCCTGGTTAGAAGTTGCACCAAAGAAGAAGAATGAATTTGTGCACTCATCAGTTAAATCCTAAAGATGTGCCCTTGGCCTTCATCTCACGAGGACAATATAAGCAGCGCCAGCGGTCGTCAACATCCAATGCTGGTATTAAGCTTTAGTTCAGGCAGTCTGTGCTGATGAAGGACAGTTTTTTTATTTATTGTAATTTATGATCATCATAATAAAATCTAGATTTGTATTCCCACGGGCCTGTGCTATACAAAAGCCGCTCTTGGCTATTCATTAAATAAACGAGCAATAACGCATTTTCCGGATTTGAAGTGTGTTTTTTTATTTTTTCGTATAGACACAAGTAGATAAAAATATACTCCGGTGATTATCGCATTGTATCCACAATATTTAACATTAGGAATGATAAGAAACCCACAATATCGCCATTTTCGGAAATCTTTTCTTATGATGGCCGTAAGGATATATGCAGGTTCCTTACGATGTTTTCCTTCACCGCTCAGCACGTAATCAGTCAGAAATCAAATACGATACTATTTAAAAAAGGAAGTCGATTCTAAATTTCTTAAATTTATTTGCTGGATAATACATGTTCAAATTAATCAATTACTAGATATTAAAGTCAATTGATTACAAGTATTAAAAATAACCAGTCAAAATCTCTAGAATATAACAGGAAGAATTATCATATTGTCGACGTTCAATGTAAACAGAACGCTGTATATTTTGTTTACATAGTAACCTCGACAGTTAAGTGGCATTGGCGCGTGCCCTCGATCAGCTTGCTAAGTTTAAAACAAGATTAAATTTGTGGAAATTAAGATTCCAAAGTTATATGCAATATCGTAGGTAAATTCTCTTTCAACTGCATTACAAATTTCTATAATTGCACTATTAAAGATTGTGAATGAGTTATTGCCAATGATGTTTAATAATATACCTAGATGACGAATGTCCATATTGCGTGGCTTTTAAAAATTGTTTACGTTATATGACATATTATATAAGTGAAATTGACAGATGATATAGAACGTATGATACGGAAAGAGATAGCAGTCAATAGAATTACACCACTTGGTCACCAAAAGGTAATTTGAGTGCCTCAGTTTAGGTCCGCTAGGGTCATATCTATTGTATATAGTATTATTGGATATTGCCATATGACCTTACTAGGTTCATTGGAGTGAGCAGTGCGTTATTTAAAAGGAATTTCATTCTTAATAATTTTATCGAGCTATTTAGTTTCACCTGGCCCAGTGTCACTGATGGAATCTTGCAAGTTATATATGATCCATATCCTAGTGTCAGATTGAGCTGAAATTGGGCATACTCATTCGGTTCTCGTGATAATGGACGATTATGGCGCCGCCGCAAAATCGTATTTGTAATTTACACATTAACGCCTATGATGTGAGTATCAAAGGAAAGTGTTTGTTTTATTAACAACTGATAGAAGCATGTTATTAAAAATAGAAATGTATTTTTTGTTTCCCTAGAAGGGCAACAACTGGTCTGTTGAACCGTACCAATACGTGAGTCACAAACAAGAGGAGCAAATACATAATATATTGAAAAATATTGAATTTAAATGTTTATGAAGATTTTTGATGACACGTATAGACTATGATTGCTTCTATTTAAGCGAATACTCTACTTTTATTGAATAATTATTTCATAGCGTATGTGATTTTAAAACTGAAACGTTTCGCACAATTTATAGGATTATGTCAGAACCATGAAAGGCTCGAAAGAACTTCGAAAATTCGTAAAATTTATTTTTTCATATGTAATCGATATGCCGATGTTGTAAAAAAGCGATAATATGTACAAAATAGATTTATTCAAGTTAAATATTTATTTACACTAACGCTAATCAATCTAATTGGAAATGTTACCATACACAAAAATTGTTTTGATTTTAGTCAAGTTTATTATTGACGATGAGGACCACTTAGCAATTTATTGAGAATTATCAATGCGTCACTAGCTATGACTTAAGATGCTATTTTCATTTTATGTCAATCCTTTGCTATGTGCTTCATAAATTTTTGAGCAAACATCAAAATAAACGCCATCAGTGTCCTGTTTCCTTGTAATTATAACTTTATTTGAAATGCCGTTCGGCTTAAAAACATGCATTCATAAATACATGTGATCGCATTAGATATGTAAAACATAGTATTTAAATGTTGCTTCCTTATTACATTCATAAAATTCATGTTTGAGACAAGAATGGGAGATAATTATATTTAAAATGTGTTGTTTTATTTATGGCACTGAATTTGTGTTTTATGCGGAAAATACGGAGCACATTTGTTTTTATAGTTTCCTTTACAATAAGTGAAGTAACATAAAAAAAAAAAAATTAAATCGAAATGTTGTTAGGTGGCAAGGATAATGTAATATTTTAAAAAGTGAATTTCGATACATTCGTTTATATTTATTAATCCAACCTGTCAATATGAAATTATTTATTATATTTCAGTATTAATTTCTTAATTTTATTCCAACTGTCGAAGAAGCATCATACGTGCCAATTAAGCAAAGACATCCGGTTCAGGTTTTTGCACAAAAACTCGATTTAACACTGCTTAAATGTACGGACTTCATCTCGTTTAATTTCAACTCGTGACGTTTGGAATAATTTGTTTCACCAACTGCCCATGGCAGACGCCCCCTGTATCGTGCAAATGTAAGAATAGTTAGTCATATTTGGGGGGGGGGGGGGGGGGGATGTATATACTAGTGAACCGGGCGAATCCGATAACTTAACACACTTAACTTTGAAACATAAAAAAAATTATTAAAATTGGTTCAGGCGTTTAGGAGTTCAGTGATATATAAATATATGTCCTATGTCTTTACCTTTATAAATTTACCGCGGAAAATTTTTAAGCGCCGCGCAGTATGGACGTGCCTAATCTTTATTAAAACACCATTGGAGTGCTGATTTAGAGCGTGGACTCACCTGGCGCGAACTTGAGCCCTAACCAGACCGACATGGGCATTATGCCGTGGTGTATCACGTGCAGCGTGGACACATGCTCGTTCTTCTTTCTCAGTACAAAGAACAGCGTGTCGAAGAACTCCGTGAACTTGCTGAAGAAGTACCACCAGCAGGTATTCGCCATCTGTCATTAAATCACAAAGGACATTTTAGACTACGATAAATCATTGTTCGCCTAGACACTGTGGACGAAACAATGCAACTCATGAAATTGACGCGACTGTCCTCGAGTTATAATAACTTACCAAAAACGATAAAGGATACGAAATATTATGAAACATCCTTATTAGCGGTGAATGATTTTCAAGCTTTTTAGCATATTATTTTTGGCCGAAAGCTAATTTAAAAACATAAGTTCATTCCGGTTTACATAATTACAATAGCATTTTTATCATTCGATCATAAAAATATCAACTTAAGTCTTACAATTAATTCTTTATGATAGCCGTGATTAAAATTTAAAATAATCTTATACATATGTTTTTTATTATTTAAAGTTATAAATGCGTTGTGTAAAGAAAGAAAAAGAAAATTATTGCCTAACACAGCCAACAAACAAAAACAAGTAGGATGCTATTGCAGATAGTACTTACTATAGTACTTAAATACCTACCTACCTAGTTCTTAAATAATTAAATGAGAATATGTTACAATTCCTCACTAAATTAACTTGTATCAAGGAATCCTTTGTTTGAAAATAATATTTTAATTTAACCTCTGTCTAATGCACTTACACAAAAACAAGGTTATGTGTATAAATATAAGTTCAATGTAGGTAACTAAAATAAAGGAACCGTAAATATTCGATAATTTAATAACAATTGTGCTAAAAGAAACGTGTGTCTGAATTTAGACGAGACATAATATAAACACATTAAACTGATTCGGATTTAACCTTTGTGACCTTTTTTTAACATAAAAACTAAAAACAAAGTCATAACACGTCGGGGCTAGAGCAATTAAAACGAAACGAACAGGGTTGCTCAATCACTGTCATTCATTAAGAACAATGTCAGTAACCATTAAGGTGTTGCCTTTACGTACCTAAATATTGGAAATCTCTAGAAGTTGGAACGATGGCGGCGACTAAAAAATTATAACTTCTATTTAATTCTGTTTCCAAGGTTTTTTTGTTACGGTTCGTTTGTTGAATTAATTTTCTAGTCAAATAAGCATATGCTACGCATTATAGTTATGTAGCCATTATGCATTTCATGTACAACAAAAGCTTGTGGCATTAGGGCAATATCAACTAGTGTAAGATTACATTCAACGTAAATATAGCCTTCAGTGCTGTCGGAGAAAAGCGGGTATTTGTATTCGCAAACATTGAATGCACGAAGATTATGTATGTTGTTGAATACAGAGTTTATATTAATAAATTTTGAAATCACAACAAAAACTGACTAGTGCCATCGCAAGACTTTATGTTTGCCGACTAGTTTTAACGTTTCTTTGGAACTAAGGAAAAATAGCGGAACCTAAAAATCTACTGCAGACCCTGTGCCTATTATTGTATTAAACGTTGTTCAACACTTACATCATATTGAAAAAAAAAAAAAAAAAATAAGCTAAATTCGATATTAATATTTAAAGTATTTCCACGAAGTTATAAAAGGGATGGAATGAATAATTGGTATTAAATAATGAAATTGTAAAATTAATTATCAAAGCAGTGCTGTTACTGTGGCTAGACCCATTTGACCTGACTGACTTGACTTTGATGACCAGGCATATATGATTTAGCGTTTTTTTCTGGTGATTAACTGGGACCCATTTTAAAATAGTTTGGCAACGGAACCATGGGTCATGTCTCTTATCACTTACCTGCTAACAGTCTGCTTTGTTAATCGTTTGGAATCACTCTCATAAGATGTTCCCCTTTCAGCGGATTGCAGTCATAATTCAGAACAGAAAAACTTTTTTGTATCTATAAATAAGAGTTATTTCTATTGGCGAACGTGATTTTGACAAAATCACACGTACCCTCATCGCCCGTGGATTCCTCGAGTAGTCGACGAGTTGACACCTGAAGTCGTAATGGCCCAGCCATCCGCTCATCAGGTACTGCGAAAACGAATGTGTCACAATTTCAAACAAACCTTTACCTTTCTCGTACTAAATTTCTTCGTGCCTGCATCGTTGTTATAACATCACGACACGCGTTTTATAGCTAATATGAATAAGAATGTGACCTAAGAGATCATATTTCGGCTTCTTATTCGTATTTTATTTTTAGTTAAGAATCACAAAAACCTTTTGTTACAAAGAATGGTTAATTTTTCTTTATTTTAAGTTTGGTGAGATAATTTTGACGACTGTTCTTGCTTCTGTGCTTAGTTTTATAATTATTGTGCCAATAGCACGTCTATTACCGTCTATACCTCTTTCAATTACTCCATTTAAGCACTCTGTCACGTGTGACAGAGTGCTTAAATGGAGTAATTGTGAGGTTAAGAAATAATGCTGAGGTTAAGAAATAATTTGCCATCATTAATGAAAATTATGTATATGGATGTACTTCTTTCTTTCCATAGGGTTTCTTGATTTGGATAAAAATCATTTGCTTTCCTTTTTATGAGACAGCAAAGGGAAAATTCTTAATAACGAGCTGCATTCGGCAATACGTGTTACGTGCCTTACTGCCGGCACGTTAGGAAGCGGTTAGGAAATGATGGATTAAAAATTCATATGGGTAAGTAGGCCAGTAGCAATTCATTTGTGATGCGATTCATGTCTCCGAAGACCGCGGGCGGACGGAACAAGCGTCTAAGTATTGTATCACGCAACAAAGACCACTATACAAACTCGAATATAATTAATAATAAAAACTGTAATACTTGCAAATTGAGGTAATCGCATTAGCTCACTTGCAAAAACCACAGCTTCCATAATACGTAAGGTTATTACCTAAGACCAATGAGCAATATTGTTCAACGACAACGTCACATGTTCCTGAGAACGCAATCGTAGAAATGTACTTTTTACATATATAAAACATTTCCACCGTCATTTCTAAGTATTACACACGAGCGATATTATTCAAAAGTCAACAAGTAATCGACACGTTGAAACAACTACATTAAAGAATCGTGCATTTGTAATTTTTATTATTAAATAATGAATAGAAAATAATTCGAGGCGTTTTTATCATATTATCGTAAATTTAACATCCTTTTAAAACGACGAAGCGTTATTAATTGTAATTCCGTGTACATAATTTTTAGAATTGAGTAATGTGATTTTTTCTAGTCGGCTGTAAAAAGTCAAACTAATGCATGTTCAACTAATGCATGAATAAGTTTAGTTTATTTGTTTTTCTAATGCACAAGCGTTAATAATTATGGGAGAAGAATTAAATAAGGAAGAGTGTTTGTTTACCTCGTAGAAGATCCATGCGCTGAAAACGGTCTGAGCCAAATTGTAAACAATTAGAACACTTCTGAGTTCAAATGGTTTTCGGTTGGCCATTAACGCTGGTCCTAATTTTCTGGCGCAGAAAGCGTAGCACAAGCATGCCGCGAATGTGGGCCATGGCGAAGACATCATAGGCCAGTCGTTTACTCGAGGATCTATGACAAAGAAGGTATTTATTACAGTCATTAATTTAGTAGCTTCAAGTATAAGTTATCTGTTGTGGGCGCGGTCATCTTTTCGGTTCTTCCTGTTGTCGTGTTAGAGGCTTGTTAAGACTGAAAATGCTATACAGTGCTCGTGTATATATAATATTGTATCGACCTAGCTTATTCATATTAATTTATAAGTCACAGAAGTCAGTGGTCATAATAATGCAATGTGAACTAGATTATACTAGTTGTGAAATTTATGCACAGTAACGCAAGGTGTCACCGAATGGTTATATAATTATGTGTTAATAAGTATTTATCAAAATTCACGACTTCAGACATAAATCCGACATCTATCAGTTGTTTCTTCAGAAATATTTGCCTAGCCGCTTATAAAGCGTCACCTGTACTGACATCCGCATATTAATGAATATTGCAATAAGTCATTGACATGCAGAAGAAGCATGACAGTACGCAGTCTTATAGGACACCAGCATTCATGGGTATTGCGACAGAGCATGCACCTTGATGCTCTGATCCGATTGAAAACTGGTGATTCAATTACATAGTTCTAGTCTCAACTTAACCCGACTGCCTCCGTTCATTGATGAGTTAGGTAGACAAGAAGTTCACCAGCTGAGCGACCCTGACGGAAACCTTACGCCGATCATTATTTATTTATTTAAAAATTTATTGTTTACACCCCAACATAAGGCAAAACAAAAGGCCAACTTAATACTAATAAGCATTCTCTTCCAGTCAAGCCTGGGAGTAGTGAAAGTTCGACGTAGGTGAAAAACAAAACCCAAAATTCAAAAACAACATTTTTTTCAACCAAATTTCAAAATTGAAAAAACACATAAAAAAGGTTCCTTTTATATAGATATACTAAAGGCAAACGTGAATAATATAAATTATTAAATACATATATATTCAAATACACTATATAAAATAAATATGTATACTATATATTAAACTACTCAGCTGATGCTACTCCAAGTATCCAAAGAGGTGACAGTTAAAAATGGACTCAATTGTTTTGGAAACCAAAGAAGTGATGGCATTAGGTTGGAGTTGGAACGAATTTGAACCTCAATCTATTTTAGGGAATAGGCGCACTAAAGGCGTAATCCAAGAATTCGTAACAGTACTCATGGAGTAGAAATGATGTCACAGAAGTCCTTTGCGCACAAAACTCACAAGAAACTTGATGTCTGACATGGCGTGTTCATATCGCGGGATGTACAGCTATGCATTCCTCCTATATCTAGCGCGAGTTAGACGCAAATCCGATCGGATTCTCTTTTGCAGTGTGAACCAACCAGTCATCTTCCCTGTACATAGATGATAAAGATAACATACAGTATGGGAATACTGTATGTTCATGGGAATGAAAAGCTAATTATCATAGATTCTTTGGAAGAATATTGTTAAACTAAGGTTTTCTTTATGAAAATATTACCTTTATTACACTGGTTCATTTGTAGTAAATTGAAGGAATAAAAATGATGAAGAATTATGACGTAGTGATAGAAAAACGCTTTTGAAAAATAATACATAGTGTCATAGTCAAATGAATGGCATTAACTTCTGCAAAGTACAGCCTCAGAGGATTACGCCCGGTTTCTGAAACACTGATCATCGTAGAAGTTGACTAATCAGCTGATTGATCATTCTGATCATTAAGAAGATCATTCTTATCAATTCAGAGAGTTTGAAAAGCCATTTGACGGCTGATTAGTTAACTTCTACGATGATTCGTGTTTCAAAAACCGGGCGTTATTATTAAGGCTATAGTTTATTTATGAATAATACTCATTCGTTGTATTCGTGTTTAGTGTAAGAATATTCGGCGATGTTATTGTATAGAGTCAGTTATGGACATTGTATATATTCTGCGTGGTATATTTTTGAATTTGTAACACTTTCAGAGCTTCTGGTACGAAGGTACGCGACGAAATAAAAAAACCGGTTAGTTGTAATGTCATTGGCGTCGGTTTTTCCGCATTAACGACAAGGAAATCGATATTACGAATAATTATGATAATCACATCGATTAGGTATATCGTTAAAATGAATTGGTTTAGTCTTTTTTCAATGAGCTATATGGTTGATTGAAATTCTCACCGTCACCGTCAAAGAAACAAATATATTTTTATCGATAATATCCATGTATATAATGTACTTTAACATCTAAATTCGCCTATTGCAATACAACCACTTAATTTGAACATTTTCTAGTTATATAATACGCCACATTACAAGCTTTGTTAGCTCAACTTAGTTTTGAAAGAACGTGGGAATAGTGGAACCAATAGCATCATTCCCACATTTTTTATACTCAGGCGAAAAAAACCAGATACTGTTTATTCTTTAACACCATTCAATTTTTTTTTATTTTCAGTAAAAGGGACAGAGTAGCAAAAGAAGACTTTTGTCTATTGGTTTTTCTTTACAAATCCCCCTTTTGTGAGGGTCTGGATACAAAGCTGAAGCCACTGTAAAGTGCTGACTAAACGAATCGATGCATTCTACCCTTGTTAGGAGGCGCACTTAGCCATGCAAAGAACGTGCTCTCGATCGGCTCTCGGATAGTTTTTGTGTCATTTTTTTAAACTTTGTTAAGGAGAAAAAAGTGGCTAATGGTTGTATCATGATAGCACTATTAACTTGTAAAATATGCAGATATTTAGGTAAATTTGTGTGTATAAATGTTCAAATGCTGCAAAATCAACGTTGTCATTCCGTCACAAGAGAAAGTAAATAGAGATAATAAATAAAATAACGCTGTGCGACCTTCAATGTCTGATTCGTTAAATCAAATTATTCAACCGATGAGTGAAGAATAATGAAACAAGTTATTCTGTCATTTTTTGTTTTTTTTCAGGGTTACATATTACATAAGGAAGTGCCATGAAAATGTGCGTCAGAAAAATGTCGTTAAAACAAGCTGACTTTGATATAAAACAGTTGGCAGTTTAAACATTTTGGAAAAATACTAAGTTATTGAAAATTATCGTAAAGCTATCTAATGTGTAGATAAATTGTGGAAACATTTTTTGCCGTTGCCAAGGATTGAACCTACGCGTTCTGGGTCCTTACCACGCGTAAATCAATTACGGCATGGTGCCGCCGACATAATTTACAATCTGTTTAAATAAACAGTGTAGCCATGGTAAAGCAAATTCAGCTTTTAAAGGAATTGGATCTTCCCGTATAGTAACCAGTTCTCAAACAAGACAGGCGTGAAGTGGGACTAAACTTCCGCGTTTCGACTGGTAATTGAAGTAACCGTGGCTTTATTTTTTAACGGTTTAAAAAGCGTTTGCAACGCATGTTGGTGCTTTAGGTGTTGTAAATGTCCATGGGTGGTGGTAATCGCAAAAAAAAGAGACGCACCGCCTGCTCACTTGCTAATTTTCCACATAAAAATAACGGTAGCTGAATATACGTATAAGAATGCAATGTATAAATATTATATAAATCTTAGAAAATAAGCTACGTTACAATACATAGTGCCATTACCATCACCATACGTTCTTCTAAATTAATGACGTATCCCTCACCACTAACAAAGTAAAAACCACAATGATAAGATGTAACAAACCCCAGCTTTAATGCATAATGTTGTAAGGGTGCAATATTTTTTTTTCATTTTTCCAAATGGGGAACCAAGGCAAAGGCGTTATATGAAGATACTGCTCTTCTAGAAGATGCTCTTACCAACCCATGCTTAAGTCTCAGAATATCAATATTACGTGATTCACACGATATGTCAGCTGTTACGTCTTTTTAACCGACTTCCGGAGGTTCTCAATTCGACTTTTTTTTTATGTTTGTTATCCCAGACCTTTCGACTGAGTGAACCGATTTTGATGATTATTTTTTTATTTGAAAGCTGGTGCTTTCCTTGTGGTCATTTCAATTCTGACATTGGCATCTATGAGAAAACTATATAAGTCTTAAATTTGCATTAAGTATGTGTGACAACCGGACGAATAACTCAATATCACGCCAATCGATTTCGATGATTCTTTTTTATTTGAAAGCTGGTGCTTCCCTTGTGGTCCCATTTCAATTCTGACATTGGCATCTATGAGAAAACTATATAAGTCTTAAATTTGCATTAAGTATGTGTGACAACCGGACGAATAACTCAATATCACGCCAATCGATTTGGAGATTTTTTTTTATTTGAAAGCTGGTGCTTCCCTTGTGGTCCCATTTCAATTCTGACATTGGCATCTATGAGAAAACTATATAAGTCTTAAATTTGCATTAAGTATGTGTGACAACCGGACGAATAACTCAATATCACGCCAATCGATTTCGATGATTCTTTTTTATTTGAAAGCTGGTGCTTCCCTTGTGGTCCCATTTCAATTCTGACATTGGCATCTATGAGAAAACTATATAAGTCTTAAATTTGCATTAAGTATGTGTGACAACCGGACGAATAACTCAATATCACGCCAATCGATTTCGATGATTCTTTTTTTATTTGAAAGCTGGTGCTTCCCTTGTGGTCATTTCAATTCTGACATTGGCATCTATGAGAAAACTATATAAGTCTTAAATTTGCATTAAGTATGTGTGACAACCGGACGAATAACTCAATATCACGCCAATCGATTTCGATGATTCTTTTTTTATTTGAAAGCTGGTGCTTCCCTTGTGGTCCCATTTCAATTCTGACATTGGCATCTATGAGAAAACTATATAAGTCTTAAATTTGCATTAAGTATGTGTGACAACCGGACGATTAACTCAATATCACGCCACTCGATTTCGATGATTCTTTTTTTATTTGAAAGCTGGTGCTTCCCTTGTGGTCCCATTTCAATTCTGACATTGCCATCTATGAGAAAACTATATAAGTCTTAAATTTGCATTAAGTATGTGTGACAACTGGACGAATAACTCAATATCACGCCAATCGATTTCGATGATTCTTTTTTTATTTGAAAGCTGGTGCTTCCCTTG